GTCACGCCCAGTACAAAGATTAATTTAAAATGGACCATGGAGATTAAGGGTGGAGGGAATGAAATCATAGACCTGAGAACCTTGAGATGGTCCAGTGAAGGGAATCTTGGAATGATCCAGTGAAGAACTTGATGTGATGGTACTTACTCAAAGCACACATGAGGCAAACTGTCCTCGTCAACACGTGGGAGACCTGGCCAGCTGGTCTCTCTAGCAGAGCCATTGTGCAGCTCTTGCAGCCATGAGGAGGAGGAGTTTGGGCTTCATCCAGAAGAAAATACAGTTCCTATGACAACTTAGGAAGGAGCATGTAATGGGCACAGAGGCGACCAAGAGAGGAGCTAGTGAATCAGTGGGGCAAGAAGGAGAGTGACTCAGTGTGGCAGATGGATCTAGGGTCCACCCAACTCTTTAGCTTTTCCTCTTGTTTCGTCAATGCTTCTCTCTTGCACGTAGGTGTCATCATGTGTCTGAGCTGTGGAGGGAGAACATCGCAGAATGCTCTTAACCCCCAGCCCACCAGAGGTACTCCTCTATAACTTGTCCTCTCCAAGGGGGTTATGGGTTAGATAGAGGTATAGCCCAAACTGGAAGGAAGCAGAAGGGCTGCTGAGAAGTGGTTGGAGTATGCTGCAGTCCTTATTTCCATTTTGTCCATTTGTGACTACACCTGAGATTATTTAAGGGACACCCACTGGTGGGCAAATCTCCAGCACTCCATGTGGGGACCTGTGTTGGGTACGAAGCCTGGATGGCAGGATGGGATTTCCCAGATGGTACCCCCCCCCCCCATTTCAGAGACACTGAGACCTCCTGAGCATCTCAGGGCAAGGCAGTAGGGAGGAGCTGAGTTCTGGCTAATGGAGGTGTCAACACAGAGATCTCCAACTGTGCCATTTTAATTTATTATTTATTATTTATTTATTTATTTATTTGCTCGAGCGGGCCCAGTAACGTCTCCATTGGAGACTTTGTTGTTACTGTGTTTGGCATATTGAATACTCTCGGAAGCTTGCCGGGCTCTCCAAGAGGGGCGGAGGAATCGAACTCGAATCAGCCATGTTGGCCGCATGTAAGGCGAACGCCCTACCCGCTGTGCTATCGCTCCAGCTTTGGGTCACACCAGCAATGCACAAGGGTCACTCCTGGCTCATGCACTCAGGAATTACTCCTGGAGGTGCTCTGGGGACCATATGGGATGCTGAGATTCGAACCTGGGTCGGCCGCATGCAAGGCGAATGCCCTACCCGCTGTGCTATCATTCCAACTCCCTGTGCCATTTTTAAACAAACGGGTACACTGAGCCCAGGAGAGCAGGAGCTATTTTTAAATATTATTTTTTAATTGAATGTGAGATACACAGCTACAAAGTTGTTCATGATTGGGTTTCAGTCATACAATGTTTTAAGCTCTGTCCCTTCACCAGCATGCATTTCCCACCACCAACATCCCTAACATCCCCAGTTTCTTCCCTCCCCCTCCCCACCTCTATGGCAAGCAGTCCCCCTTCCTCCCCTCCTCCTCCTCCCACCTCTCTCTCTCTCTTTCTCTCCCTCCCTTTGAGCAGGAGGTATTTGAAACTCCACAATGACCAAAGAGTCAAAGGAGTGGTAATTCATTCATTCATTCATTCCACCAATATTTACTAAGTATCTTATATATGGCGCACAGGGACACAATAGAAAATCCCTGTGCTCCTGGAGGCGACAAACAAGCAAGTTACCAACATGACAGGTTGGAGTATTTTTAGAACTATGGTGATGGGGGGGGAGCAGGAAAGGGGGTGCAGAGAAGAGGCACTGTATTGTATCTGGGAGGTCAGAGTGGACCTTTCTGAAGAATGAATATTGACTGGAGTTGGGCCCTCAGAGACATCTTAGGAGAATTTTCAGGTAGAAGATGAATGGCAAAAGACCCCCTGATGGCTCATGGGGTACCAGTCTGAGGAACAGGAAGAGGCCCAGGTGGCTGGAGCAGAAGTGGTGAGGGGGAGAGGAGTAAGAACTGCAGAGCTGGGCAGCAGCCTCTGCAGAAGTTGTGGTGTCCAACGATTCTCCCCAACCCCACGCACCTCTGGAGGCTCCTGCCTAGACTCTGCAGACTTCAGAACTGGGCTGGTTGGAGGGAGGAGGGCTTACCGCCATCCTAACGCTCCATCTTCTTGGGATGCCTGAATTCTATGTATAGAGTCAGAGCTGTCGCCTTTGGGAGGACTCATTCCTGCCAAACTCACCCGCATTCATTCATTCAACAAACCCACAGAGCTGCACCTGCTCTGTGTCCAGCATGCGCTGGGTTCCAGGGACTCTGCTGTGACCTGACCTCCGAGAGTTGACAATTGAGCGGGAGGGATGTGCAATATTCAAAGTTCAGTGTGATCGGGGCTGGAGAGATAGAACAGCGGGTAGGGCATTTGCCTTGCATGCGGCCAACCCGGGTTAGATTCCCAGCATCCCATATGGTTCCCTGAGCACCGCCAGGAGTAACTCTTGAGTGCAGAGCCAGGAGTAACCCCTGTGCACCATGGGGTGTGATCCAAAAAGCAAAAATTAAAAAAAAAAAGTTCAGTGCGATCAGGGACTGGAGCAATAGCACAGCAGGTAGGGCATTTGCCTTGCACGCTGCCAACTTGGGTTTGATTCCCAGAATCCCATATGGTCCCCCAAGCACCGCCAAGAGTGATTCCTCAGTGCAGAGCCAGGAGTAACCCCTGAGCATCACCGGGTGTGACCCAAAAAAGAAAAAAAAAAGTTCAGTGTGATCAGAGTCTTTATTCAAGGCAGGGTCTGGACGGAGTCTGTGGAGAATGCAGGGTGAGTATCGGGTGGAGTCCACAGAGAAGCCACCCAGGGGATCTCCAGAGGTGTGAGAGATGTTCATGGTATGTTGCAGAGTTGAGGTCACTGAGATGAAAGCCGAAAGGGGTCAGAGAGTGTTCAAAACGGAGAAGTGAGAAGAGTCTTAGAGGCCATAGAGCAGACGGGTTTGCAGGATACTTGCACATCCACCCTGTTCTGTCCTGCCTGGGGTGCTGAAGCGCATCCCGAGTTCTCTGTGGGGCAGCTACGTAGTGATGCTGTTGGCTGGGAGGGCTTTGATGTTTAAGCACCCTGGGACACTGTCCACCAGCCATCAGGTGGATGACTTGCAAGAAAATGGCTGACTGAGCTCTGCTTCTATGTGTAAGTTTCCTTCCCCTCTCATGGCCTCATTGCTCCAGAGAACCCACCAAGGATGGGAGAAAGGGGATGGAGGAGACGCCGATCTTTTTTTGGATCAAACCACATGTGTAGGGAAAGGGACCACATTTCAACAAGAGGGTGTCAAGGGTAAATTCCCCTGCACCCCAAGAGGTGAGGAGCTAAGGTGGACTCAAGAGTGCGAGGAACTGCTCACCTGTTGTGTGGCCTTAGACAAGTCACTTGGCCTCTCTGAACACTCCTTTTCTCTCCTGCAAAGTAGGGCTACTCAACACAAGACTCCTGTGCCCACAGAAGTTTTGAAGATCAGGGGTAAAGTTTTAGCTCCATGCCAACCACACCAGCTCCATGCCAAACACACACACCAAAAACGGTAGCTCTCATGGTTTTCCATGGGCAGGACCACAGAAGACAGAGGAAGAAGGAGGAGGAATTTGTCTTTGAAAGGGTGAAAAATGGAACCAGCTGCTCCTGGTCCCCTGGATAAGACTGGAGGAAAAACAGCCTGGGGCCTGACCCCTTATGTGAATTTATGAGGCGCTGGCCCCCAAGTGTCAGAGAGGATGGACTCCAGAGTCCGCCAGTCTCCACCACAGTGAGTGGCCCAGGAAGAACTCTGGGACCCTGCCGAAAGAAAGCAGCTGAGCAGGGAGGGAACCAGGTATGAGGGCATCCAGTGTACCCCAGCCTGCAGGTGGAGACAAGGCACTGGAGAATGACGGTAGGACAGGTAACAGCGCTGGAAGTCAAGCCAGGTGGAGACAGAAGGTGACCAGAGCAGGAAGGAGCACTGGCAAGAGGGAGCTTGAAGGACCAACACCTGGGAGCGTCTGCAGAGGCACAGCAGAGGAAAAGGAGAACCGGAAAGAGGAGAAAGGGGACCCTGAAGGGTCCAGAGCAGGAGAAAGAGGGAATGGCAACGAGAAAAAGAAGCTGAGAGCACAGATGAGGGTCCTGGGGGGGGCGGGTGAGTATGTATGCGTGAATGTGTGTATGAGTGTTTATGTGTGTGTCTGAAAGTGTGTAAGTGTATGTCAATGGGTATGAGTGAATGTGTGTGTGATTATGAGCGTCTGAGTGTGAAAGCGCATATGTGTGTCAGTGGTATGAGTAAGTGGATGTGAATGTAAGTGCGTGTGAGTGTGTATGAATAATGTGTGTACAAGTGGATGTGTGTGAAAGTGTTTAAGTGTGTGTATGGGTGTGAGTGAGTAGATGAGTGTGTGTGAGTGTATACGTGTGTGTATGAGTGCACGTGTGAATGTGTGAGTATGTGTTAATATGAACGTGTGAAGTGGACGAGTGTGAACAGGGGGTTATATCAGTGTGAGTTGTGCATGCATGTGTGAGTGTGAGTAGATGAGTGTGTTTGAGAGTGACAGTGTATGTGTGTGGAAATGTGTATATGAGTGCATGAGTGTGTGAGTGTATGATTGTGAGTGCAGGTTAAGTGAAAGGCAGTGTGGATACGGTCCCAGGCAGCAGGCCCCAACTGCAGGACAGGCAGACCCACCTCCTGGCCAGTGGCCCTGGGGACCCCCGCCCCCGTGGCATGCCGCCCCGGCCCCTAGCGGGTTAACGCGCCGCCCCGGCCCCGGCCCCGCCGCACTGGCTCCTCCCCGGCCCCCGCGGGCAGTGTCCCCGCTCGCGCCCTCAGTAGACCTGGTGTCCTGAGTCTGGGCAGACGGCGGGTCCTTGGCGGCACCGACCCCCCGCGCTCCGCCGATGCGCCCGGCGCGCCCCGAGCAGCCTCTGCGCCCCCCGCGCTGTCGCCGCCGGGCCGTCGGGCGTCCCCTGGAGCCCCCACGGGTGCCTCCCAGGTACCAGGAGCCCTGAGCGCCCTCTGGACCAGGCTGCCCAGATGCGGCCGCCACTTTGCCTGTTGCTGCTGGTCGCCCACGTCGTGGACACGCTGCCCTTGAACCGAAGGAAGAAGCAAGGTACGAGGGGGCGGCTGTGCGGGGGGCGCAGGGCGGCGCGCCGCGGCGCGGCGGGACAGACAGGGGCACGGCCCGGATGCGAGCAACGGACCCCACGGGACAGCGGCCATCTGGTTCTGCAGACGGGAGACAGGCCCCAAGGCAGACTCAGCCTGCCGCCCGCCCGGGCAAGCTGGACCCAGGAGTCTGTGCAGGAAGGGATGGAGCCGCTGGGCTCCCGCGCACTCCCCTGCTCCGAGCAGACTCAGGGGCCAGGCTAGAAGAAATTGGGGTCCCTGGGGTCCCAAGTCTCCTCCCAGAGAAGACGACAAGAGCCAGTGGTTTGCACACCCTGGGGTTCGCTCTGTCCCTACTGAGCAGGCAGAGTTCTTGGGGGTGGGGATCTGGCGGGGACCCCGGCCTCTGGAGCTCAGATAGACCTGAGGCCTGCAGTAATTTCCCCTCTCCCACCTGCTCTTCCTTGGATTCAGAATGCACATGTTAAGCAGAGCGCAGAGCCGGGACCCCTTATGAGGGTTCTGTGTCTCAGCCTGTGTCTCCGGCTAGGGCAGCTCAGGACCCTGTGAGTGGTGACTGCAGAGAGGCGCTCGGCCGAGGGCCTGGTGGACAAGGACAAGGAGGGGCTTCAGGAAGCACTCTCCCACCCGCACCAGCCCCCACAGGCCCTCTGGAAGACCGTGCAGAATGGTGATCAGGGGTTTCCACCTCCAAAGGTACCCCACTGCATCCTTATGATTCTGGGGCCACCTCGTTTTGTAAAGCTGGATGCCTCAGCTCAGACATCTGTGATCCCTTGGTAAAGCCTCAGGTGAGAGGGTGGCCCAGTGCCTTCTCTCCTTCCTCTGCTGCTGATGGAAGCAAGAGGCAGAATCTGCCCTGGGCGGGGGAGCATAGGGGGTGAGGGCTGGGGACAGTCAGGGGTGGAGGTGCTGGTCCTTTTGAGGGAAAGCTCAGGAGCACACTCTAGCCTGCAGAGGGGCATGATGGGGGAGAGTTGGACAGGGCTTGGCTCCCGGGAAGACTAAGCCCAGAGCAACTCCCAACTCCAGGTGTAACTAGATCAGGAACCCAGGAGTGATGATGGGTGCTGAGGGGAGATGGGGCGAGCCTGGGACACGCTCTGCGGAGTTCCTCAGTGCGTGGGCTCCAGAGTGGCACTGTCTGGGTTCAGACCCCGCCTCCCCACTTCCCAGCTCAGTGGCTATGGGGAGCCGTTTTTGCTGTGCTGAGCCTCAGTTGACCCATCTGAGGATCCTCCTAGCTCTCACAGCTCATTTAACATTCTATAAAAGATCCAAAAATTAATCATCGTGAAAATGTTTTCCTCACTGACTCCCCTTTAAAATAGGAAGAATAGTCATTTTATTGGGGAGGGACCTCCCAAGCAGTATTCCCGGGGCCCGGGGGCCATTCCAGGCACTAACTCAGCCAACCAGCTCATGGTTCAGTGCCAGAGTCAGCAGTGATGAGGACCACCAGGGCCACCCCAGCAGAGCCCCTGGTGTACTAGGAGTACTAATACTTTCCCCCAAGAGCACTAGGAGTACTAGTACTAGTGCTTATTCCTGGGATACGAGTACTTGCTCCAGGAGTATGAGGAATACTAATACTTTGTCCCACGATACTTGTTCCAGGGGTTTGAGGGTCAGACCTTGTGATACTTGGGAGGGGCATGAAGTGTCAGGGGTCAAGCTTGCACCCCCAATCCCTGTGCTAGGTCTCTGACTTAGGAAAAATAGTCTTAAGTATCTGATTCTAAGGGCAGAGGTGAAAGGCTGAATGAGTTAGTATCTGCCTAATTAGGGGCAAGTACACAAGTTCCTGGTGGGCACTTGCGAGTGTAGGTCATTCTCATTTCCTGCCCATTGTGTCCTTGGCTACTCACAACCACCTCACAGAGGGAGGGGGTATGGGTTTGTTTTCTGGACGTGGAAGCTGAGCTTCAGAGAGGGATATTGATTTTCCCAAGGTTGCACAGCAGGTAAACGTGGAAAGTGGGTTCGAATCAGATTCCTCTTGACAGGATGCTGAGAGAATGTCTCCTGAGCTGTGCTCTTCCTTCCCGAACTTCAGTTTCCCCTTTGGAAGAGGAGTGAGTTTAGAGGATCTCCAAGATGCTTCCGGGGTGGAAGGGGTTGACTGAGGCACAACACAGGGGTTATGGTGTGTGTCTCGCACGCAGCCAACTCTGGTTCTATCCCTGGTCCCACATATGGTCTCCTGAGCACCACCAGAAGGGGCCCCCAAGCACAGAGGCAAGAGTAAGCTCTGAGTACAAACACGTGTGGCCTGCCTCATGCCTACCGAGTGCTTCTCAGTGCTAAAGCACATGTGTCAGCAAGAAAGAGAGGAAGTCCAGTCTCGGCCCCCATCATCTCCCCGTTGGGACACCCCCCCACCACCATCACTGTTGCTCAGGGAGGACTAGTCAGCGGCTACTCCTGGTGCTGGAGGGGCTCTTGGTGCCCCACTGGCTGTAGCCTCTTCTCCAAGGTGACCCTGGGGATCTGATCCTGGGAGGTGGGGGAACGGGTGAGACTGCAGGACTGGCCAGAGCAGTCGTGGTGAAAAGGAATGGCAGACTCCGCCTCACCCAACAGGCCAGGCTCACAAACCCGCTGCCTGGACAATACCTCCTGGGGTCTCTGGGAGTGGTACCTGCTGGGAGGCAGGAGAATGTGCCCTGGAGAGCATTGGTGATGCTTCCTTTGTCCATTCCTTGTTCATTTGACAAGTGTTCCCCCGGCAGCCTCTGTGCCAGGCTCTGTGCTGGGAAGCTTGGGGATGCTTCTGTGGGCAGCCCTGGACCTGCCCTTCAGGAGTGGCCAGGATGAGGGCCTGCCCCTCATCTCTCCTCCAGGTCAAGGCCCTGGCCCCTGGTCTTTGGCCCGCACTGATCAGAGCGTGGACCCCAGAAGCTGCCCCATCTCATCATCTCCTTGGGGCTCAGTGCCATAGATCCACACTGGCTCAGATGCGGCCTCACGATTTTTTTTTGTTTTTTTTTTTCTTAATGAAACCCAATTTTTCTGCTTCTAAGACAAGAAAGAATGAAAGAAGGCTTGAGGAAGGCTCTTGGATCTGAAGTGTCGCTTACAAAACATTTTGATTAATTAAGTGGAAATTAATCTGAACCAGATGGGGACATTTCTCTTAAAACAAGCTTGGGCGTCCTGGCATCACTTCTGTTGAGTAGGGTTTGGAGCCTCTGATCTGAACCCCCACCTCCTGGAGGCTATGCGGGGAAGACACACTTTGAGGTACTCACCCCAACACCCAGCCTTACCAGGGCGGGCATGCGGCACAGGGAGAGTTCCCCACATCCACAAAGCCTGTCTAGATCCTTCTTCTTGATGGGAGGCAGCAAGGGGTGGAGAGTTCTGGAATTCCAAGAGCTCCAATCCAGGGCCCTCACCCTTGAGATGTGTCACCTGCCTCCATTTGGTTCCATGAAACGGCAACGATCACGTCTCTTCCTTGACCACAGTCTCAAGGGAAGGTGCTGGAGGCATATAGGAGGTGCCTCATCAGTGTCTGACCCCCTCCCGGCTCCCATCTGACAGGGTGTGGCCTGAGTGGAAGGAGAGGTGTCTCCCAGGGACTGCATTTGTCTTTGCCTTCTCCGCTGCCCGCCTCCAAGACTCCTTTTCGCTTTATCTTTAAAGGAATGTGCCTGGTCTCGAGGATCATTTTCTGTCACTGTGAAGTGGCACGGTCCTATTGCCTTCAGGGCTACAGTCCAGTCATGGATGCGACGCCACTTTACTGTCACTATGGTCACCAAGAAATATTTGTGGAGGTTTCTTGAGCCGCTCCTTTGGGATCGCTCTGGAATAGTTGTTGACAAGGACAGCAGAGATGTCAGCGGGCTCCGTGTCTCCTTGAGACGCCAGGGACGGGCCATCAGAAAGGATGCAGAGAGGATGCCAAGAGCAGGTGGGCAGGGGTCCCAGGCACAACTGGAGAAAATGCGACTCAAAGAGGGGACAGTGCTTGGCTTGGGGGGGAGGGTCACAGTTTGTCCACTGCTTCCTCTCGTCCCTCTGCTGGCTAACTAAGTCCAAGGTTCCAGAACTTATTTTACTCTACAGCCCCTTTTCCAGAAAAGGAAAAAAAAATCGCTCAGCACCCTTCCCCCTGTCTTTAAGTGAACAAACAGGCAGCCCCCCCCCACACACACACAATTGCACCTGAGGTGACAACCACCTTCAGGATTTTCTAGCACACCCCCTGAGGCAGGGGCGGTATCCCACACTTTGGGAAATATTGATTCCAGTAAACAAAAGCAAGCTTGCCTGTATTCAAAGTTCTTCACACTGAGGGTTTGCAAACTGTCGGGGAATCAGAAAAATTAATTTCGTAAACGGAGCTGGCACTTTCTGAATGAGATGGAGCTTGTTCTGAATGGTATCAAAGGGAGTGAAACTAAGTGGAGTGGAAAAACTATTTTTGTAAAGGACCTGGTAGCTGATTTTGAAGGCTTAGCATCCTGTACCAGTCTAATCCATTCTTATTTGATTTGCCCTTTTCTTTCTTTCCTTTATTTTTTCCAAAGTAATGCTTTAAAAATAGGGTGTTGTTAGCTCACAGGCCATATGCAAACAGACTGCAGGTCAAGGTCTGTCTATAGATGGGAATTAACGAGTCCCACTTTCAGAAGCTATCAGTGGACATTCCAAGTGTTAGGCCTAATCTTGATCTGAGAAGTGTATTCTGGTTTATGTGTCTTTGTGTTGGGGGAGAGGGTTGGTGAGTGGGTGAGCAAGCTCGCATGCATGTATATAAGTGTGGATGTGTGTCCACGTGGGTGTGGGTAGAATAATGTGTCTATGTGTACACTGACAATAAAATGTCATTTGTGCCAATATCACAAAATGTGTAGAGGTTGGGGCCAGAGCAATAATAATACAGTGGGTAGCTGTATTATTATTATTATTACAGCTTGCTTGGCACGCAGCTGACCTGAGTTTGAACCCTGGCATCCCATATGGTTCCCCAAG